CTAACGGGTTATCGGCTCGAAATTGCTCCTATGTTGTAATACGGCAGTTTATTCTGAAACAAAGCACGCGATAAAACCAGGCGAAGATTCTCATTCGGCTGCTTAACCGACTGTCTCTAATTTGATTGTCGGGCAGGGCAGGCGAGATGGCATTGAGACGGGTCAGCCCGCTGTGAAAATCGGGTATTCCCTGTACCCCCCGGGAAAATGGAAAATCCAGTTATGATTTCGTGCGACTAAAATCGTTGTGTGTTTTTAGCTCGCGGTTAACGTCGAACCAATGCTCGTCACTCTTCCGTTAAAACTCCCTCGGTCGGGAAATCGATTAGTGACGCGAACAATAAACGAACAATAAATTAGGTTTTGGAAACAATCGCTGGTGTAACGATTTCGTTATGCGGCTGCGCTCGATATTGGAGCCTGCGGTTTCCAGAGTTTATCTGTTCGCGGTGGAACAGAGTCTCGTTCTAATTCGAGTCGTTACAGGTCGTTGAACTCTTCTTTATTCCGTCTACGAAATTTCACTCGAAAATTTCGTTGGAATAATAGACGACGCGTAAGAACGCGACACGCTGATTTACCAGCTGCGTTATTGCGAGTGAAACAGCACGAAATTGAAACTATTATACTTTGGCATAAAATCAAAAACAAGGAAGTCGCAAAGGCGTCAAATTAAAGCAACTCGACTCGAGCGTTGTAAAATTTCAATTTTCTCACGGTTCACGGAGGTACAAACAGGTCCCCTTCGACTGGTTCCCCTCGCAATTTAGTGACGCACAAAACGGACGAGCGTGCTTGCAACGGTCTTCTCGATAATATTTGTCGCGCGCCGCGCTGCGACGCCGGCGTCCGCGAGCGGAATGAACTTTGTTACCTGCCCTTATCTCGTGTTTGAACGTGGAAACTTTGTTCCCGATTCGTTTGCACGGTAACCAAAAGGGTTCGGTAGCGAGACCAAACGGCCATCTACGTCATGCCAACTCCTTCCATCTCGGACCCCCCTTTCGCTCTTTTCCTTTTGTCTTTCTCCACCGACAAGTTCCTATATCCAAACCAGCCCTTTCCCGCCCTTCGTGGCCCGGGGGAAAATATTAGCCGCGGGCGCAATAGCGTTAAAGGGGAACGGCTAAATTAATAATTCGCAAATTGCCAAGAGAAATGCTGCTCGTGGTCCGGGATCACCCTCTTCTTCATCTTCCTACTTCGTTGCTCTTTTCGACGCGGGTTCGCGGCGCTTCGGTGACATCCAGGGGTGCATTCGGAGTCACAGCCCACTCTGTCGGTCGTAAACCGCTACTTTCAACAATTACTGTCAATTAAATAGCCAATTAGTCTTACGATCTCTCGAAGAAGATTCGTTAGCATTCTTGGCAACGTTGAAGCATCGCTCCATTAGCTTGTTCACGAATTTCGTCAGCTTTTCAAGACCTACTCGTCTCTCGAATACCAGTTCACCGCGGCTCAGAATTAATTATGCTCGCATCGAGCATTACGTCATGGCTCTATTTCTTCTCCGTCGAGAAGAACGATTCTTCTCAGACATGCACGCTGTTATCGTAGCAAAATCCTATATCGTCTTCCTACTTCTGACGAATACTTCTACGAAAGGCACGGGACTAGACGACTTCCCTCCGCGTCTATAATAACACTAATCGGCGGACTGGTCGAGGTCGAGATGGTCTCTTTCTCACGAGACACCCCGTGCGTTGCGCGAAACCAATTGCCTGGAATAATTTTAGCGGCGACTGTAATTACGGGGCCCCGTTCGCAGACCATGCGCGGGCCCCGCATCGACCTCGCAACCGAACTTATTATTGCCAACGCAAACAACGTCGTTAACGTCTTCCGGAATGGAACTTTCAAGCAGGAAATTTATTGATATTTATGGTCGGTCGAGTTTCGGTTTGTTTTGCGATCTCTTCTGCGGACACGGTGAGTGCCACTTACGAGGGTACTCTAGTCTCGCTACTGGAAAAAGAGTTTTACGAAACGAAGACTACACAACTAAGATATCGATATCCTCTACTGCGGTTAGCTCTCGCAAGTTTCGAGTTTCGTCGCGATTTCTTCGCCCCTTTTTCCAACGACGCGGTAACAAACGGCCAGGCAGAGCAGCGTTTTGTTTCTGCGGATACGAAGGGAACCATTGGTCCGTCAAAGATGAAACCTCGCTAACAATAGGAGAGTCTCATCTGCACGAAAAGGAGATTACGTTGAAATGGTAGGATTCGGAGAAACCATTAATTTCGTAAGATATTGTGTTGCGCGGTCATAAATAATCCTGGAAAGTACATATAATCTGCTGTTGAAGAATATTCGTCGGGTTACTCGGGCTCTTCTACACATTCCGAAAACGACCAAAAAAGCTCTCCGAGCCAATATAATATCCGTCTTCATCGGATGGCACGCGGAATACATTCGAAGGACTATTACTCTCCCCGCGTGTACTTTGGGAAACACGCGGTAGGCTTGTTTTATTCCTGTCAATGGTGGCCGCGAATGCAGTGGATCGAGCACGCGTACACGGGAAATTGAAGGATGAAGATAAATGAGAATTCGGACGCGACGGACTATCAATATCGCGCGTATAGGGTACCCAGGACGCTGTAGTCACCCGAAGCGCTCAGGATCCCGTCAAATGATCGACCGCGTCGTTCTCATTTACGAGACGGTTCCGTGCCTGCTCCAGCGAGTTTTCACCTTGCAAGTTTCGGCAACGGCGTTTGATCTAGAGCGAAGATCAATTCTTACACCGGACAGAATTATTCGAGCCGTACAAATTCCGGTGGTTTCCAAACTATTTAGGTGTGCGCCTAAATCCGATATTTATTTACGAACTTCTCTTGGAGTAGTAATAATAATAATAACAGATGAACAACCGTATTTAAATTACTTTCTCAGGTACCTTCCACGCGTTAAGATGTCTTTTTCGTTTATCGGATAACGCGCCACTGGGTGTAAACGTAATTGATCCAATATCATGTATCGAGCCACAGGCGTGTCTCGCGAGGTCTCCCGTGGGCCCCGACAACCTTTCTCTTTAATTATATTTAATAGTGGTAGCCGTGTTTCACCGGGAAAAGTCGACGAGTACCTCGAATACAGGCCAGCGTTCGCTACGAAAAAAATCGTTGACCGCTCGATCTTTTTTCGCGATAAGTCTCGACGATCCAATTTTCGACCGTCCACTTTTTCTCGGCCCGTCTCGGCCGCACGATAATTTCAGGAGACACGTAGTCGGAGGATAAGAACAGAGGGATTGCGGGTTAAGGATTCCAGACTCGGTCTTAACGAGGCCTACGGTAACAAGACCGAGCACAGGCCCGCGACCCTTTCTTTGTCGGCTGCAAGGGGTGGAGAGAGGCTGCGATTCCGAGACCTCGGGCGTCTTTTCAACATGTTAATTGTATATTTGAGGTGTGGCGATAAACAAGGCAGCGTCGGTAGCTCGCTGCCGTGGAGTCTTCATTATAGCCGGTAATATATAACCACGGCCCCTGAGGGGCACTCTCTCGATGCTCCAGAAGAAGTTATGAACTCCTGTATACCCGGTGAGTCGAGGATAATAGCCACGAGCGCTCTCGAAAGACCAGCTCTATCAGCAGAATGTCATTTCGGGTCGAAAGGCTGGTCGCCAAGACCGGATGAGAGAGGACCGAGATCGCCGGGAATAATCGACCATCGATCGTCCTCCTTAACGAGGAACGTCTCTGTAACGGACCAAAGAGAAGGAGTATCTTTAGGATTCTTTTTTATGAAACGAATCAACCTTTCGTAAAATCTTACAAGCAACTTTTTCATTAGATCCCAAATAACGGAGATGTATACGAGTATCCCCATTTAAATGCTCAACCTGAATACCCGACGTTTATCGCAAACACTTGTTAAATAACTGTCGGGCACACGATCGAGCAGCACGATCAGCAGAACGATGTTTTGGGTCAAAAGCTTGGACGCGGAGACCGGATGAGGAGGGGACCATCGACCGTTTTCAATGACTTCTCTCTTCTAGTCTTCGTCGCGTTCTCGTTAGATCCGTACTCGAAACTTTTAATATATACGATATTAAGGGCGTATCGGGAATTATTTCACGGGGCGCGGTTTCCTCTTGTACGCAATCTCGGTGGAAGCGGATTTTTTTCCAAGCCTCGGTGAGCCAGTGCCGTCTAATCGCGGTCATGGATCTCTCGGCGTTGGTCGTGGCTCGCGGCGTGTTCTGGATAAGGGCTCGAACCGGAGAAAAAGAAGAGGAACACGCGTGATCTCGGGTGCATCGTGAAAGCAGCTCCGTGACGCGTACACGTATATACGAGGCGCGATCGATTGGCCTTCGGGGCCCGGCTTGGACGAGGTGCGAACCGGTTCCCGAGTCGATTTTCGACGTGGAATTCGGCTCCGAGGCCGTTCCGCAACCCTCTGCGCCCAGCAGGGTTCGCTCGGACCGCTTTTCTCGGGACCAGCGAAAGAAGACGCTTTATCCGCGATACAGTGGTAGACAGAGACTGCCAAGACACGCCCCCTCTGGTGTCAGATTTTATTTATCGCACCGCGGCTTTTTGTTTCACGGTAAATACCCCGAGCATTTAAGAGTAAGACGTTCCCCGATTTATGGTCTCTCGGGCTTCCTCGAGTCCCTCTTCTTACTCCATTCCGCGCGTAGAGCGCCCTTCACGTCTTCTCTCCTCTCCGTGTTGCGAGGTCGTAGTAAAAAAGCTGCGGACAACGTTGAATTTTTAAATAAAACGAAAACCGAAATATAGGTTTCGATGTTGGTTCGATAAGCGAGAAACAACGCTTCGGCTCGGTGTAATTCTGTCCCAGTGTGCTCCACTGGTACCTCTTCGATCTTTTTCCTGTCTCGAGCCTGCCGTCTCGTCTTTCGCTGACCGTCGGCGTTTTCGTCGAAAAGTTCCGGTAGAATGCTCGCCGATCGATCGGCGTTTAACGTGCCACTGCTCGACGTTAAAAAATCTCCTTTCTTCGTGTTGCTCCTGTTGCAGATCAACATGGAGGCGGTCACGTCGACGGATTACGACTCGTCGATTCTCAGCAGGAACTTCAACCAGGTGGGCTTCAATACGTACAATTACTCGCAGTTCGAGGAGAAGTATAAACCGCGACAGGTGTTCAAGTACGGTGACGAGTACCAGGAGTACGGTCGGAACTCGGCGAGGCTGGGGCCGAACGAGAGGTACGCGAGATTATCGGCGAGACATCAGGACGGTGTCGGGAAGCCCGATCAGAGGTACGCTCGGAGTCACTCGCAGCCGGAGAGACAGCACCATTTGTCTCACGAGACGCGTTCCAAGTCGCAAGACTCTCGCGAATTAACGTTCTATCAGATCGATCCGCCCGTCAAGTCGGATAACGCTCAGCACGTTCACGCCAAGGCTCACCGTTCCGCGGCCGAGAAGAGCCAGGGCAAAAAGGAGCTGACCTTTTACGAGATCGACGGGCCAGCATCCCAAGAGAAGAAGGACCCGAAGTTCGAGAACTGCAAAGACAGAGGCGACAGGCGAGACAAGTGTCACGCGGTCCAAGAGAAATCGACACCTGGGAAACACGGCAAGAGCCATCAGGAGCAGAAGATCGTCTCTCCGCCTAACTATCAGCTGAACAGGTCGCAGTCGGATCTCACGGAATGTCAGCTGCCGAACTACTACAGACACCAGAACAATCCCTACATCGATCCGCCCAAGTACAGGCAGTTCGATAGACCGCCCAAGTATCAGGAGACGCCGCCGAAGTCGGAGCCTCCGCCCAAGTACTCCGAAGTGGCCAGGCGGCAGGACGATTACAAACGCGTTCAGGTGAGCGATGCGTACGAAGAACCCTTGACTACAGATTTCTATCGACTCTCGATCGACGAAATTTTCTCGCGCGAATGCAATTGTAGCTTATGGCCTCCAATTAGGATCTGTCGTAAGTACCGTCCCAAGTTTCTCGGTAATCCATTTGCCAAGAGTAACGATTACGAGTAGGAAGATTGAAATCAGGAATACGAAGGGTGGGCAATCGCGAAAATTTCATAAATTGTTGGTGCTGCAACGCTCTCGTAACGCGTTACATACGAGCGATATTCCTTCCGAGCCAGACGCGCGCGACAGCGTCGAAGGACGATAAACTCATGTCCGAGATGCTTCCCTGTCACCCAATTCCCGCACACTTCCGGTTCCATTCGAGCCGCGCTCGATCGCGGAACGCGCGAAATCACAGCGATTAGCGGTCACGCGTAACGTTATCAATTCGACAGGAGGAGAGGGGCAAACGACAAGGAGCCGTAGGAGGAGGGAGCATCGGGATCGGCAGCAGCGGTGGCGGTGGCGTTGGCAGCAGCGGTGGTGGTAACTCCAGCAGGGGGACCGCCGGCACTCATGGCGCCGAGACGCCCTCTAATCTGGCCAGTATCACGCCAACCGCGCGAGAAGCAGCACGAGGTCCTTCGTCGCGGTCGCGTATCCCGTACAAGACGTGCGACACGCGTTGCCCGAACATCAACAACAACAACGTCACCAAAGACGACCTGTACCAGGAAGCTTCCGACGATTCCGAGGCGATATCGAGGTGTCACGTGGAGTTTAAATCTCATCATCATCCGGGTCGATCGTCTACCACCGGCGGTAGCAGTGGTTGCGGTGTTATTTCCGGTAATGTTTGTCACGGTGGTTCCGGAGTGCCGTGCGAGTCCGCGACGTGCGACAAATACAAGGGTGCGGTGGACTGTCTGCTGAAGGCCAGCGAAGCGGTCCAAGGTCGTTTGTGCGAAAGATCGATGCTGAAGATCGAGAAGCCCACCACGAAGGCGATCGTTCACAGCGTCGAAGCTCCAGGGAAGTGCGGGGATAGAATGAAATCGGGCCAGGAGCTCGGCTATGGTAAACACGAGACAACTGCCAAGTCGAAAGGACACGATGTCGGTCACGGGTTCAAGGTCGAAAGTATCAAGTACTACGGCGAACTGAAGGGATACGACTACAAATCGTACGGGACCATAGACAAGCCTGCGACCTGTGCCCACGAAAAGTCCCACACCCACGGACCCGAGAAGAACGCTCACGAAAAGTGTCACTCGAAGACGTCCTCTTCGTCCGCGATGCACGGCCTCGCCAAGGTCGTCGGTGAACGTCCACCGGAGAAGAGCCCGTACGCCGATCACTATTATCACCGATCGTCGCACACGAAGCCGCAAAGCGCGTATCAAGTGTACCAAGAAACCAAGTACTCGTACAACGTGAGCGGGGTGCCAGGGACGCCGGCGCAGGCCAGCGCAGCCGCAGCTTTCTTCGCAAGGTCAGTTACTCGATCCACTATACTACTCGCGATCACGCGCGTCCACCTGTTTCCTACTTAGATTTACGACTGCCGTCGTTGTCTTTCGTTCTTTCGCCAGTCATTGTGTCGTTCCGTCTAGCCATCTGTAATTGTCCGACTCGTGGCTACCGTTTGTTTACGTGACGCGTCCTTTAACTGGGCGTTGACTCGTCCACCTGGGAAGACTATTATTACCGTTGCGATGTCGTGACTTTTGCGTGTACGATTCTCTTCCGATAAATGGCCTGGTAAACTCGGCCGAGTAACGATGTCCTCGTTGACGTACACCATCGTTTACACGATTCTTTTGGGTCTTTGTTTTATCGTTAAATTCATTTTTAATCTCTGAGACCATCGATTTCAATTTTAATACGACAGAGATAGAAGCGAACGATATCGTACCAAGGGTATCGCGATCCGAGCCGTGGGAATTGAAGGGACAAGTATGGTTCTCGGGACTCGCGAGAAAAAGCATTCTTTCCCAAACAATTAACGGCAATTCGCCCGGCAGCAGGGTGCAAATTCTCGTCGGCGCTGGCTTTCTCTATTCACACGGGCGTCGCGCGACAATGAAACAGAGGGGTGGTACCGTTCGCGCTCACGATCACGGATTCACGGTGAAGAATTTCAAAGGCGATTGCCAGGGGACGAGCCGCGCGTTCTTTAAGACGTCTGGAGCTTTGATCTCCGGCACGCGTTTTCGACAGCCGCGGAATGAAAAGCGGCGTTCGCGTGAGAGCGTTCGTTCGGTCGAGCATAAATCGCGTGCGGTTTGCGCGGCAGGATAAAGCTCCTCTCGGGGTATCCCCGCATTCAACCCTTAACCGTAACCAAGCCTAACCGCGACCCACCAGTCGTTTAATAAACCTTAGTCACGGCTGGTGAATGTTGCGAAGCTTGCAGCAGCTTCCAGGCGACGTGCCTCTGCTCGCTTTCATTGTCGACATACTTTCTTTTGACATAGCGTACAACTAGGTAACGCGATTAATTCAAACATCGATACGTATCGCGATCTAGGGGTTTGATACGTATTTATCGCAAAATCGTTCGGTTGTCGATTGGCTCCGTAACAAACGCGGATCCAGAATGATTTCTCGACGAGACGGAACGCGTGGAGCGAGCTTCGAGGACGACATTTTTCTTCTTCGAAAGAAACTGCTCGTCGGAATGTCCGCGGCGTGTCGCCCGCCAATGAAAGGTAAACCCGCGATTTCGAGCGAAATTCCAGATCGGTGGAGGGGGGGGGGCAGGCAGGAATAATCGCGAACAGCAATCGCGCCTGTCCGCGGTAAAAGTCTGCCGGAATGCGTCCTCGGGCCGCTGGGTGGTGGCTAGCGATGGAATCAAGTGTCTTACAAGCGAGTTCGATTCATCGAATGGATTCGAACCCTTTGTATCAAGAGTCTGAAGACTGTTTACATCCAGAACAGAATTTCACGTAGGAGGAAACGTTCGTTTTAGTATCGGAGCCACACGAGAGATCGGCGTACCGAACGATCGAATCTTTAAACTTTAAGAATTGCTGTTTACTCGGATTCGTGAGTAGGTATCGGACTTGATCCCATCTCTATTGACGACGATGCACGCGGCGGCGTCTTGACTCGAGCGAGCTTTGAAAAAACCCGAATAACTAATGTATCGTTAATGGACAGTGGCGTATAGTGGTCCTCGAACGATCGTGCCGCGAGTGTGAATGATTCAATGGACTCGTCTCGGTGGAGAGCGGCGCCTCGTTACGTTCCTCCGTGCTCCAACGGTCTTCCCGTTTCTCCGGTGCGTCGCTCGTTCGGGATTCTTTGGAATCGGTGTTCACCGTCTCGTAGGAAGTGGCTGTGCGACGAGAATTGAAATTAATCGCACCTCGACGACCTGTCGCGACGTATCTTGTTCTCTTTTGTGCTGCTACTGGTTTCACGCCTGGCCAACAAGCATATTCCGTCTACGTTCGCGAGAGAACCGCGGGTGGAAACAATCGATGCAGGAATACCTTCGCGAATTTGTTCTGGACATGCGTGAAACTCCTCCCTTTTTGAGAGAGAGATTCTGCGGTTTTCTCGGGCACGAAGTGCGCTCCGTTTCCATCGCGAGCACGTATATTCCAGAGGATTTTTTTATTCGAGTCCAATGAATGACCAATGAAATAAATCGTTAAACGCGAAAGACCTCGTACACCGCGTGCACAGCTTCAGCCGTAATGGCTTGCGATTCGTGTACCGCGAATCTCGCCAGGTATCTTCTTATTTTTACAAGATCCTGTCCAAAGTTCTCGGAATACGAGTATCGTTCCGTTACTTTCGAACTTCATGAATAATCTCCAGCTCATTCCCGTTCGGTGGCAAATAAAGTGCGAAGTAAGGAGAGCGTACTTGCGTACACTGCCGTTCAAAAATGGAAAGAGCTGGCAATCTTATCGTAAAAGTTACCGAGCATTCGTTTAAAACGTATCAAACTTTTCCGCTTTTAATACTCGAAAGTTCTAAGCAAGGATTCCAAGAACGCCGTTTAAACTAGATAGAGTACACAGTTTTAGAGGAACACGCGAGAAAAACAATGGAAATTTGTACGAGAGAGCTTCCGAGAAAGATTCCGAAGATCGCGACGTGTTTGAAATTTGTGTCATAATACTACAACTTCGCGTAACGAGGGTGCCTAAGGAAAAGTCGAGAGGATCCGAGACTTTTGAACGGCAGTGTAGCCGTGCGTATTACGGGGCCCGAGCTTTTCGAACTCTTCTTCTATCCGCTAGCTGCCGCCGCGTCTATTTCCCGATGGGTTTGTCAGACTAGTCCGGATGAAGTTAGAATTTACAAAGTTGCGAAGCGACGGAGTGTCGCGTCGCATCGCGGTGTTGCGAGCCATGGCGACAAATAAAATTGACCCGGGGTGTTCGTCGTTCTCCCGTCGGGAAAGAGAAGTTAGCAGGAAGAGAAGACGCGAGAGGATATAAGGCGAAGATGGTGGGCCAAGTCCGCCCGTATTGTTAGTCGTCGTGATTTTATTGCCCTTTTATATTGCCTTCGAGCTTCTCCTTTTCTCGACGCTTACTTCTTCGCGCGGGCCCTTCTTCGTTCCTCTATCCTTTATTTCGTGACGGCGCTCTGTCTCTCGTAAGCGAAACGGTGCTCCGGTTGGCGCTTGCAAGAACGATTTTTACGAGGCGATTCGCCTGCTTCCCGACTCCTCTGGAAATTGCAAACATCGACGCGCGTGCACCGCGATCACCTATAATCGGGTCTCCAGAAATAATATCCTGCGTAAACCCGTCCACTCGGACGAGTTGCTCCAAACGAGGAACAGAAGGCGACAACTCCGAGAGAAAAAGACGCGGCAATAACGTCGCGAAACGTTCCTGGTAATCCATTCAACGTCTCGAATCAACTTTACGTTAACAAACAAAATACGGCTACACCTATTTCGATGTCCCTCTACCCACTCGGCGAATCTTTTCAAAAAATTTAACGGCATCGAACACCGCCATGCCGAAATCTGTCTATTTAGGGAAGTCTGCCGCGCCGTGTCGCCGAGATGGCTCTTTCGTGGGAGTCATCGTGCCTCGCGGACATTGAAATGCAACGTTTGTGCCCGGTTAGCCAGAGTCTAACTATCCTGTATCGGATAAGTGCATAAGCTAGCAGGTATTCGTGACTGGTCGACGGGAAGAGACGCTGAAAGGGAATCGGGGAAAAGGAAGGAAACATCCGGACTTCTCTCAGGCTTGAATGACACGCGTTATATCCTATACATATTTATGACTCCGAGGACTTTGTTTTCATTTCGTGGAATGGAGTCGTACGGGCCAGTCGTGCACGCGCGAAGATCGTATCGATAGGAAAGTTATCCTTAATTGGACAGGTGACATTTCCTCTTTATTTTCTCTCGCGAACCCTTCGAGCCCTTTCAAAAGAGAAACATCCTCCTCCGCAAAGTTGTTACTCGGGGTTGCAAACGATCGTTGATTTGAATTCGATATTACGCGTCCCACGTTTAACTTTAACGCGACGAGAAGGTAACAATCGTCGGCTTAACGAGTCGTCGAGACGTCGCTGGAATCTCGACAAGAGGTGTTCAGAGATGACCTCGATGGGAATGGTCGCCGGACCGGCACGACCGAATATATCCTGTAGGTCACCGTGGGTTTGAACTCTTCGTTCAACAGGTAGCGCTCTCGTAGCCCGGGTTTGCCGGCGACCCGGCCCTCTCCATTATATTCATATCATGTAAATGCGCCCTACCGCTCCGACTGCCTTCCATTTTCCACCCTTGTGCCAGGCCAGACGGGAAGCTGTTCTCTGCAGACAGAGAAAGAGATGCCAGAAACCGAGGGAGATCGAGCTAAAGAAGCAGAGACGGACGAACGAGGAGAAAATCAGCCGGTGAAACGAAGGTGGAGGGTAAAGAGTGGAACAGAAGGAAGGGTACATCGAGACGAGAGAAGCCACCTCTACTTTGCATTTATTCTAATGGGATAATACTCGGTGTCTTGGCACCCGGACGTGGCACCTCGTTTAGTATAATAATTCCCCGGGAATACCTTCGCTTCGCGATACCTTCGATTATCGTCGTTGACGACGATTTATGTATAGTTTCTTTCAAATAATGCGACGTCACGTTCGTTAGTTAGGAATTGTTTTTGGTTTCTAAAGACGAAACTATTTCATCTGCTAGCACGGGATAGTTAACACGTTAAAATCCTCTCGTGTCCCATTGTACGCTGTGGCAGGTAACTACGGCGTTGTCGTTACCTGGCTGCATACGCACGCTAGGCGCCGAACGTGTCGACGCGTGGGCGACGCGCACGTAGGCCTGTCCATCTTCTTTTATAACGCCAGGCCGTGTTAACGCATCGGCTATTAACTTAAGCGACGTCCGTATGTCACTGTAATACCTACACGATCCAGCACAGCTATAAAGGATCACCGAAATCACGCTAAAAGGTTCCCAGGAATTAATCTTCTATTTAAACGAGCGTCGGTCGGCCG